GAATGTGTTGTAATGATAAGACTTTCAAATAAAAAATCTTACATTTAAATTAAAATTTATCTTGAAGTTTTAGATAGTTTGAAATAGTCTACTTTATAAGTTTCACTATTTCTGAAAATAATTTCAGTGCTGATATATTCGTTTAACTTATTAGTACTGGAATATAAATATATCAAGTTGAAAATAACCAAATTTGATTATAATTGTCTAATTAGCCATACTTCATAAATTAATTATGTGAAAATGTCAAAGTTGTCTTAAATATGTCAAAGCACGATAAATATTTTTTTATCTGAATTTTTCCGTTCTTAAAGAAGAAAATTCTTCTTTTTATATTGCAATAGTACTGAATATAATTTTATTTATTTTTTCAAATCCGTGATGTATTGTACATGTATGTATATTCCTTTTTAGAAGAATGAATAGAATGTTATCGAGATATTTCATATTTTTCTCCACATTTTGTATTAAATTTTTTCTTAAGTTTTTGCATATAGCATTAAATTTGAGTAAAGACGGAATTATTTTTTAAAGTTTTGCTAGCCAGAGTAGTTATCAAGATCTCAATTTTTGTAGCAAGAATTATCAAATTTTAATCATACTTTCAGATGCTGATTCCACTTGATACTCATAGAATGTAAGCATGAGAACTACTATACATTAAATCTAACTAGGTTTTGAAAAGTTCGCAAGAGCTTTGCTGTGAGAGTTAGGTAAGTTAACTACTGCCACACACTGGGGGAGTTCTAGTCAGGACTGTAGCATAAGCTCATGAAGTCCACAGCTAATAACTTTAAATTAGACATAATCCAAAATGAAACGTAATACTTCTAGTATAAGATTTTTCCATCTGATCCAAAGTCAGAATTTCTTCTTTTTTGACGACAAGATTTCTTAAAAGTAAATGGATTAGAACAAAAAAAAAATCTTCCAAAGTAAGATTTAATTGTTAGATGTACAGTTCATGGAGTGTGTCTTAGAGGGTGTCTAGATGGTGTTTCCCTCTGTATCCTAAATTTATTTGAATAGTATTGAATATTTAAGTGTAGAGATTGTGAAAAATAGAAAATAACCATCATGTTTTCTAAAAAAAAATTTTTTTTCCTTAAATATTTCATTTATTTCTTGAATACTTTGCTACTCCCCTCTTTATTTTTCTCTGCTTTTTGACCATAAATCTTTACCTTATTTAAATTTTAATTAAAAATACGCTGTAAAGAAAAGAAATTCAGAAGATGAAAAAAAGAGTAAATCCGGTTTAAGGTACCTTAACATTTTATTTATTTTCCTGTAACTAAGTTCCAATTAATTAAAGTAAATTAAAGGAAGCAAAATTAAACAGCATTAAAGGGGATTTATATGATTAATTTTACAATTTTATTTCAATTTATGATAATTAATAAATATTGCCTGAATTATTATAAATTACAATTCATGCATCATGCGGTTTGACTACATAACTAAATTAATACTATGTGCTCGACTATTGAGAATTCAAACACGTACAAAACTAATCGAGCCTTATATATAATTTATATTAAACCAATTATTTCACAAACTATTAATTTGAGATTAAAAAATAGATGAAGTCCTCTTGAAGATAACAATTATGAATTCCAATGGGTTGAAGAAGAAATACAAATTGTAAACAGATTGATTCATGACAGCTAAGACCTAAAAGTCTTAATTCAGACACCATTTAAATGTTAAATTTTATCTCTTGTTCCCGATATATGTCCCTATTCTCTATTCCCCCAACGTAACTCAGAAGCGCATTAAAACAAAACTAGAAGTTGCAGTTCACTTCAGTTCTAAGATTATTTGCATAAATCTATTCGAAATATAAACATGAACTTGCTAGAAAAGTAAAATCGATACAATCAAGGATAATCAAATCGAACTAAATAAATCTATTGATGTAAGAGAAGCTCGAGAAACTACTTTATTCTTATTATGTATTTAATTTTGTATTTTATTCTATCCTTTGATGGTAATTGAAGAAGCCTTAGAAATTCCACACCCCTGCTCAGGTAATCAATGCATTTGAAGTATACAATGTCTTTCTAATGGAATCTCACTACGAAGGGCTCCAAAAGAATGTTATTCGATTCTGTTAAAGACAATCACATAAAATAACAGTGACAGCTTCGCATTAAATATAATGGAGTTTCTAAGTTTTCATTTGACACAATATGAGAGGTTTCGGATGACAGCTCAAATGTCATGATTATTTGAATATGATCCTTTAAATTTCTGTGTTGTTCAAAATAATTCAATCGTGAAAATCCCGGGCCAATTATTTGTGAGACAGTAATTTATCTAGATCAAATATTAGCCAGCACAATGAGCATAATTTTATAAAACTAATCATCTGCAGTTTTTAATGGTTTAATTTTTCAAGTTATTGAAACCAACTTTATTTTCCTTATTTAAATATTCATGATATGTCGTGCTAAATTTATTAACATTTAAAGGTATAAGAAAGATAAAGGGCATAACTGTATAAAATTTATTACCTTTTTTACCAATAAGCTGAAGTACAGGAAAATGTTTTTATATTAATTTAAGAAATAAGTTCCTTTTTATATTTTTAAATAAAGATAATGGACATATAAAATGAGCTTTTTTGTTTTAAATTCATAAATAAAGTACATTTTGTTTCCAAGCACATATCTATAAGTAATGAAGTATATAATTTAATAGGGCTTTGCAAATGTCTCTAAAACTAATAATATGAATATACAGAAATTTAAAGCATACACTCTTTAGTGTAATATTAATTGAATTTTATCAAAAATATGATGTACGTAATTGAATAGTCATTTTCTTAAACTAACTAATTATGTTAAATTAGTTATTTTCTTCATTAAAAAGCTAAATTAACATATCTTTAACTATGAATAATGATGTTAGTTTTCAATGTGAGTTAGAATGTGATAAGAATGTCCATTGTTTGGAGACCGTACAAAACTAAAGGATGAATTCGAATGTCTCTAACTTGACTATGAAAAATCCATAGACAGTTCATTCAGGATTGATTATTTTTAAAATTGAAAGTAGAACTTGTCAATATCAGATAATAACTCATGGATCAATACTGATTACTAAGTAAAGTCATAGTCCATAATTAAAGCATTCACTTTTTTAAAAGCGATTCCATCTCTTTATGTTTCTAAAAATATTAACTTTTTGTACTTTATATAAGTTCATTCTGCATAAAGTATTTGCTATTAAAGCCATGAAAATACTGTTTAAATATTATAAAATTATGGTCTGCTGAACTTGTTTCCGTAGTTTCTGTAAAAAATGTTAACGCTAAGATTTGGAAAAGATTGAAGGAGCAAATTAGTTCAAAAGATATTCAATCTTCTATTTCAACTCAAAATGTTATCCTTTTCCAGAACAATACGAGACCCCGCACAACCAGTGAAACACCAGGATACTTGCAGAATCTCTACAGGACAACAATTGATCAATCTTCCTTATTTTGAAATTATTTTTTGAAAAAACTCATGGGAACTCGTGATTAAACGTGTAGACCAAGAGTGTCAAACTCAAATGCTAACCAGGCCAAGCAAACAAGGTTTAACTATAAAAGGGACACAAAGAAAATCAATATTCACAGAAACGTAGGTTTATTTCGAATAATACATTATAATAAACATATATAAAAGCAGAAAAACGAGCATAGTTAAAAAAACGTTTAACGAATTCTACCAATCTTATTTTTATTGCGTTCGTTTGTTATTTTATTATGTATTAACACGGGCCGATATATTGTCCGGGCCGCAAAAATGTACGTTGCGGGCCTAGAGTTTGACACCCCTAGTGTAGACTATAGTAAACACCAGATTATTCTATAAGTGTTTTTGTATGCAAAGGGATCAAAACTAAAATGGACTCAAAAAATTTTCATATTTTAAATATTTTCAAGCTGATATCTTAAAATAGACGGAGGGGGGGGGGGGACTATCATAAATTTTCGATCAGATATTCTTTAAAAAAATTGCATTTACAAGTATAGTTTATTTTTATTACATGAAATCTTTTGAAATCGCTAAGAAATTCAAATTTACAAGTTTTCAGCGAAGGGAAAAACACTTAAGTAAGCCCATTAAAAGATCGCTTTCAAGTGTTTTTTACAAGCATTTGAGCAAACGTTAAATGTGTTCTTCAAAGAATCACATTACTAAGAGGGAAAGGAAAAAATCGAAAAGGTAAAGGAACAGAAAAAAAGGATTAACTTAATAGGAATTCTCCCTTTAAGGCATTTTTTATTGCAAATCCTTATTCTTCACTTTAAGAGCTAATACAGTAAACCCTTTTTAGCAACATGAAATCCCTAAAGTCCTATTTTCAGCGGGGTAGAATAAATTGGAAACAAACACCATTCCACAAGCTTAACTTTTGTGCGATTAAAATAGAACAAAGAAAAAGAGAACATTTTATTCCCTAAAATAACTTTATACAAGTGAATTTTTAAGGAAATAAAATGGCATTGAAGCTCCTACTTGCCTGAAGTGCTTGTTGTGATAATTTATGTCAACAATAAAGAATGAAATTTAATTGAAATGTTCTCTGGTAGTAACTTCTTCTGTTTCATTTTGAAATTAAATGCGTGTAAGAAATTTTTCAATTTGAATATCTAAAGAAATCTCTTTTTATTTACGCTGTGTAATGTTAAGCAGGAAATGCAGCTTTGCACATTAAGTCAGAAACAAGTAATATAAAAAAATTTTTAAGTGAATTCTTACTTAGGTCAACAAAGAAAAATTCTATTTTAGTCACTTTTCATTCAGTTATTACAATTAATATAAATATGTATATACATATGACAGAATTACAATATTAAGTGACAAAATAGAAAACGATTTTCCATTTTCCTTTCTATATATGGTATTGGACATTTTTTTGTTTGTTACTATTTACTCATCACTTAAATTTAATTATTCTAATAAAATAGTTCAGTAAAAAACAAATCACATTCTCAAAAATTATGCCATCCCAGGGGGAATTAGAAACCACGATATTTAGATTAGCAGTCCAACGCGCAATCCATTGCGCTACTGGAACACAACGACTGACTTTCTTTTCTATGTATGATGTTGGACTATTATTTTTGTTGCTATTTATTCATTTTTTAATTTAATAAATGAAATAAAATTTGAAAAAACTGTATTTTTATCAAGTGTCATCCACTACAAGTTTAAAAAAATGTATTTGAACTTGAATGGATGAATAGAAATTATTTTATTAACGATTGAAAGTTTGAACAAGATATATATATATATATATAGGGAAAGAGTGAACTAATAGTAGGAATTGAATAATATTCTAATTATTAAATCCGCATTACATTTTTGAAATTTAGTTTTTATTTTATTTATTTATTTATTTTGTTTGCATTATATTTTTGAAGTGAAAACTTTTTTAGCGGCGTTGGGTACTTTTTGGTAGGGGAAAATCTTATGGGTTCGCGTCACCGACATGCTCTGACTGGCGCATGCGCAGTGCGCTGTTCGCTTTAGACACTTTTTGGATGGGTGAAATCTTTTACGTTCCCGTCACCGACATGCTTATAGCAGTATATCTGTAGCTATACAGCTGACGTATAGTGTTGTGTTCATTTTATAAGTAAAATTGAATGAATTTAATGAAAAGTTCAAAGTGTATATATTGTGCATTGTTAAAATAGTGTAATTTGCTTGATTATTATTTGAATCGTTTAATTGAAGAATCATTGTGCAGTACTAAGTAAATATACTAATATTTTTAAGATGCAAAATAAATAACAGAAAATTATTTTAAATACTCGCATTTATTTAGCGTTTGAAAATTTTATATTATTTAAATTATTTTAAATCTTCGTATTTATTTTAGCGTTTGAAAATTTTATATTATTTAAAACTATTTTAAATCTTCGTATTTATTCTAACGTTTGAAAGTGTTGTATTATTTATTTTCTAACATTTAACCTCTGCAATGCATAACGCAACCCGGATTAGTATTTCACAGTGTCTTAGACGTTTTCTTACTACCGTGGTAGAACAAACATCTAATTGTTCAATCATAATTTTATCGTGGATTTTGAAATTAAAAATTTCATGAAATCTAATAATAATTCAAGATTAATGTGTTGAAGTTTAAAATATGGTTAAAAATGCAAAATTATAATTTATTACCTTATATCATTAAAACCTCTAGTTTAAAATAATGAAAACGGCCCCGACTTTAATTTCATTAAATATTTAATTTTATTTAAAAATTAAATAGTTCGAAATCATTATTTATTCATTTAAATTGTCAAAAATAACAATATATGCTCTTCTATTTTTTGCAAAATGATTATCTATAATTTTATATCATTCAATTTTATTATTAGAAATTTACGAATAAATATTGTCAGGGAATTAGGGTCATTTTAAATTTCCGTTTTTCATATTTGCTTAGATCCTTAACATTTTCCCCTGATTTCTGCTTTGGCAATGACTATTCACAAATCACAGGGAGGTACTTATGATGCTATTGTCTACGAATATGTTCCCAAACATCGTAGAGAATTAGTTTACGTAGCTTTAACAAGAGTAACGAGGATTCAAGGTTTATTTTGGTTACTCAGGAAAATATTAGCAGCAGCTGGAAATTTTTGATTGGTAGAACAGGAACACCTCTAAATGCTTCAGAAACAGATAAACATTATGAAAGATCAACAAGTCATCGAGAGGATCTAACGTTAGAATTGAAAAGGTTACAAAACAGTACACAACAAACGGTCACCAAAAGTTTTCTAAAATTCATCTCCAACAAGAAAGGATTATCGATATTTTCATTCAATTGGCAAAGTTTGCATGCGCATGGAGCTGACCTAAAAAATTATGCTATCGTAAAAAAGTAAAATGTTCTGCTTTTGTTGGAAATTCGTTTGAAAAACGAAGAACCACTTGATATTCTAAATTTCAACTTTGTTGTAACTTATGAAAGACCCGAAGTTCCAGTAGCATGCGTAGCTATTTATCACAATACTCAAGATACGTCCCGCTTCATTACTTCACATATGGACATACATGCTAAATTCACTAGAAGCATTGGTGTTAATGTTTCTGATATAGGCGAAATATGCGTTGCTCGTTACGTTTCCGAGAATGGGCAATACATATTAAGGTGTGGTTGCCGTTTATATTTCGCGTGGAAAATCTGAGACAGATACAACAATTTTTATTCGAAAACTTGATGATTTTTCAAAAGAAGGTTCTGAAATACTCGATAAAAGATTTGGCGAAAAATATGATAATGTAACGATGACTTTAAGTGGAGACTTCAATATTAACTTTGCAAATGATAAAAATCTACCACTAATTGAATTTCTAAATGAAACACTTAAATATGTCCAATGACCGAAAACTCAGTACTACAAAATATAAAACGACGATCGATGCGGTTTTTACGCGATACTTATATAAATTTGAATGAAACATTTTCCTTTCTTACTTTAGTTACCATAAGCCTATTGTATCTTTTTTAGAACAAAATGAAATTATTGAAAGTACAAAAAGTCTAAGTATTGTTGAAGTTAATGATGCAAACAATCTAAATAATTTTGATTATCAAGTACATTGAAATTTAAGTAAATACAAATACTATCCATAAATAATATGATTGTATATTAATTGTTATTTCAATTAAATTGCATTTATATTTTGTCATGATCTTGTACAGCCCGTAATATATATAAATAATAAAAAAACCATATAAACATGTGCATTTAGTTGTTGCTCGGAGTGTCAATAGATTTGAAAACCAGATTGATGTTGATAATTTTAATTCAAACATTATGGAATTTCAAATTTTAATACTAAAAGTTCTAAGTTTTCACTTCTATCAGCAGTCTCTATAACTGCCAATTTTTTTTAGAAATATATTAATGCCTCTCTCTAGGGAGAAATCTGGACGTCAAAATTACCATAGGCAATTGATATCAGCCTCTATGGTGCAGTACTGAAGAGAGATACCAACTTACGGGGAATGTACTAGGTCTGCAATGGTAAAACCCCAATCCGCAGCCCATTAGAAATAGAAAAAAATATTTTTAGAAATTATCTGTAAGAATAAACTAAATATGTATTATTTAATATTAATTTTATTTATTAATTTAGTAATATGATATATTTTGATACACTATTGTAAAATTTTAATCCAGAATGTTTTTAAAAAAATTATATCATATACGTTTTAAATTACATGCATATAAAAGAACGAAACCATATCTGTTTGCCAAAAGTGTTGATTTCGATATTTGGGCATTTCGTGCTGAAGAAATGTTTAATGCTTTTTCAAATTGCATACTTTAAAAGTTTGTTCATCTATCTTTTTAAAAGTATGTTTAACATTCTTTAAAAATATGTTTAATTAGTTATCAAAAATTACTTATCAATTTGACATTTTGCACAAGTTGGTAATTGTTCATACAGTCTTTTCATACTTGCTTCTTCAATTATTGAAACAGAAATCTGGAAGAAACTTGTTGTTTACAGCAACAACAAAAAAGAATTATTAATCAAATAAATAAATTTGTTCTTTAGAAAAGAATTACAATCCTATTTTAGCAACAGATAATTAGAAATTCCAAGGATTCCAACATTTATCCAAAATGAACGAATACTTCTGATTGGTTTTATATGACCGGTAAAAGAAAAATAATATCAAATTTAACTCGAACAGAGTCAAAACTCATCAGAATTCCACTATGTTCCTCTTTCATTTCCAAAATGCACATCGAAATTTCTTGGAGATTAGATGACTTTCTTTGAAAAAAAGAATTTTTATGTTTGTTTGGATAACATTCTTTTTAAATAGTGGATTAAAACTTTAAAAAGAAACAGATTTAATTAATCTTTTACCTTCCTCAATCAAAATGCAAAAAGATTATTATTATTTTTCCCAAATAAAATCAAAGAAAATGAGGGAGAAAGTAAGTTTTTTCTTTGTTTTTCAGCGAAAGTATATCTATTTTTTTAAGCATTTCACTAAGCAGAAAGAAATGACATTATTTCTATTTCGACATTTTTAAAGTGCCACACCGGGTCTCCTTTAATTAAGATACCAATTCCTAGAATAAAAATAATATATTTTGTTAAACGAAAAATTAATGTTGAATATATTTAATTTGTAGAATTAATATTATAATTCAATAAACATATTAAGAGCTAGTTTTAAAAAAGGGTATTACTATATATTACAGATAAAGAGATGTGCAGATATATTTCTCTTCTTTTTGTATTTATTATAACAAAACTTATTTTGTCTAAAAATATATCTTTAGTTTTCATACAGAAGTACTACAATTATTTATGAGGGCGTGGTATTCGAGTGGTCAGGGTCACTAAGTCATGGCCGTCGAGTCGTGTGAGTATTAGTCTTGATACCACTGAACATTTGCTGTGTAAAGAGGCTGATGCACGTTAAATCTATTGTCTCAAAGTCCTTTCGTTAGCGTAGTGTGAAAGTTTGGAGAATGGGACGCCAGCTCAGATGTCCTCTTCGTCACTTGACTGAGGTACAAAAATAAGTGGTTCGTTATGAATAGCCCCCGCAAAGCTTTAGAAAGTAACATTAATCAAAAATCAAATCAAATGCAATTATTGATACAAATTATACTTTGTGGATTGTGCAGTTTAGTTTATTTAAAAATAATGTCGCGTAGATTAAATCAATATGGTAATTTGATACTCAAATAAAATGACAACAATTCTTGCTAGATACAACTCAAGATTATTCTCCAAACTGAATATTTCCTCTCCTTATATATTACCATCGAAAGTTCCAGAACTTTCCATAATTATAATAACAGTTAACTTTTATAAATACAAACACAATAAAAATAAAAAAGCACGAAAGAAATAAAGAATTACAATTAATAAAAAAATATGCGCGTGACACAAAAATTAAAGTTAATGCAAAGAAAACAAAAGACGTTATATATTTTTCGCAAGTTGCCCGCAACCGGGCGCGTGAGTCCGTGCCCATGGCAACCGAGGTGAATTATTTTAAAAGCTTTTATTTAACTTACAATGTAT